TTCTTTCCTTGCACAGTCTGTCTCAGACCTGTGCCAGAAGGAAAAAAACACCAGCTAGGCAAGCAGCAATCATATATAAAGGTGGGCTGCATTGATTACTCCAATATAGGAAATATCAGAAGGACTGTAACTTGCAGACAGCCTTCCAACAGCAGAAGGCGCCAGAGTGGCTGCTTAATCATTGCCATCGACTACTGGCCCTTAACACATACTGAGTATTCCCTTTCAGCTATCTCTTAAATGCTGGTGATTAATTACAGAAGCCCCAGTTGCAATTGCAGACCTGTAAGAGCAAGAAACGGCGCAGGGAAGCTCTCTGCGCAGCTGCGGTGCTGTTGCTGGGCCTAACTGCGATAGGAATGCAGTCTGCGCTTGCTCAGCCTTTTCCCGGGCAAAAACCAATCAGGAGGCTTACTGCGCCTGCGCAAGCTGTTGCCGGGCAGAAAATGGTCAAAAAGAGCGGAAAGCGCGCTCCGACATAATGGCGACCTCTGAAACCCCAGTGCTGGTGCGAAAAACGTGGGGATCGGTTGCAGAGACAATCCGACCCATCCACACAGTGACAGGCGTGCAGCTACTCAGAAGTAGCCCTCGCGCCAGGAAAACGAGTGAGTAGGAAGAGTGTACCACTGAAAGCAGGGCAGGGACTCTAAAGCGGCAAAAAGGGCTCCAAAGGGATACGAGTATGCCGCTGAGAGCAGGGCAGGGACTCAATAGCCGCCCCAACAATCACAACAGGAAAATTAAACTAGAAGAAGGTTCCCTGGTAAGGCAGGGCTTCTTATCTATTTGTAAATATATATGGCCAGACAGGGTGTAGGCCAGAAGACTCACCCAGCAGTCACCAAAGAGAAGCAATATAAAGGGAAAACTCCCTTTATTTCCAAACCAATTCGAAAGTGCCAAATCGAAATCCAAATCAAAGTCAAGTCCAATCCAAGGTCAGAATAGAAGAACCCAAAAGCGAAGAATTTATTCAAGGTCTAGATACCAGAGATGAGTAAAACAAGTCTGATTAGCTGAATGAGTGAATAAAAACTGAGCCTCTGACGAGCAAAGGGGGCGTGTCCAAGAAATTTAAAGACACATACACTCAGGGCTGACTGCTAGACTGTTGAATAACCCTCGCTTTTGGATTCTCCAAGCAGCGCGCTGGAGGTGTGTGTGTGTGTGTGTGTGTGTGTGTGTGTGTGTGTGTATTTCAACAGAGGGAGGAAATCAATCTAGTTTACAAATGGAATACCTTTTTTAGGCAATTAATTTTAATAAATTCAGTCAAAATTAATTTTTAATGCTTTTTTTCCCCAGTATGGCCTCTGGCCAGTGCATACATAATTTAATCAAATGCATACATACCTTTGGAGGAAAATTAGGCAGGATTAGTTTCAGTGAGAAGCAGGGAATAGCTCAGAAAATAGAGAAGCTGATAGCATAAGCTCACAAAGCAGGGAAGCTAGATAGTATACAGAATTTTTGTGCCCATGGAATCCTCTGAAAATGGCGTGCTGAGTGGCCAGGTGGCTTTTTCCTCCTGCCAAACAGCTGATTTTTCCGCTAAAGCTGGTTCTTTGGTGGCATGCTCCCCAGATTTAAATGGGAACAACTAGGAATGATCCAAAATGACCCTTAAATGACCATCTCAGATGATCCTTTTACCTGGGAAGAGGAATCTCAATTGAATTGCAATTCTTGGTAGGAGCAGGAGGATTGGGTCTCCATCTTTTCCTTTTGGCTGTTTTATTTTTTCAAACATGCCTCTATTTTGGCTGAACGCTTTAAAGTTTTATTTTTCTTTTTGACTTTTATCTTCAATTGTTAATTGACTGGCTGAATGTTGATTTATTCTAATCCTTTGCTGGATTTTAATGATAATTTTTTGCATATTTTTACTGCTTTAATTTGGAGTTGTGAATCACTTCCACCATATGAAAGTCGATGGTGAACAGACTCTTCCCTGGGTACCAAAAGTGGTCTGATTTGATTTACATTTACACTGGATTTTTATTACAAGGGTTTTGTATTCTATTAGTTTTTAAAAGCTGTCTTTTTTCTTTTAACCTCTGATGGAAAGTTTCTTTTTTTTTTCCTATTCACTTTTTATTGTGTCATTTTTTTTTTCTGTAGCCATTCTATTATGGTATATCTACTTCTCCTGTCCACGAGAGGAACTATTCTGTTGTGAAAGCTCAGCTACAAGAGACTTTTGGGCTATATTAGAAATGTAAACAACAATAAATTAAGGGTATTGAATATTATAGGACAGTGTGGTGGCTCAACGATTAAGATGCTGGACTTGTTGGCTGAAAAGCCAGTTTACAAATATGCATGCGTTGTTCTTCCTGCATTTTCAATTATAATAATCCAATGCCTGTTTTATAAGCTTCTTACTGATCTTAAGTTTCTCAAATATGTCCTCAATATGTCAAAGAAATTATGTCAAATTATATTTTTGCATAATCTGCAGTTTGTTTTTTTTTACGAAAATACATTGTCCTTTAGGAAAGCAGAAAGCCTCCATATGGAAATGAAGAGGATCAGGTTGTTTAAAGGATCCAATGCTTCTTAGGCTATCAAAAGTCATAAGAAAAACATGACGGCATCCCCAAGGGAAAACTGTCATAAATAGAGAAAGGTCCAATGTGGACTGTCTACTGATTTCAAAAGCAATTCATCAACCACATTTTTCAACTGGCCCTGAAATATTATTTCTTTAACTTTATTTAGACTGGAATGGGTGACAGGTTTACTGGCCTCCTAGGACAAATCACTTCTTTCTTGTGGCCTTTATCAGGTCTTCCCATTAGCCCCATAGTTACCATGTCAGAAGCTCAAACTAGAACAGATCAAAGAAATGACACAGAAGTAAATACATAAAACTAAATTTGACTACCGTGTTTCCCCAAAAATAAGACCCTGTCTTATATTTGTTTGAACCCCGAAATAAGCGCTTGGCCTTATTTTCAGGGAGGTCTTATTATTTTGGGACGCATAGAGCAAGACAGGTCTCCTCTTGCCGTCTTACCTGATTTCCAGCTCTGTCTCCCTAGCCCTAACCAGAGGAAATGGCGGGGACCGGCTGCACATACGGTTAAATATTTTCGAAGAGGGCTTATTTTCAGGGTGGGGCTTATTTTAGCACATGTGCTCAAAAGCCCAATTGGGCTTATTATCAGGGGATGCCTTATTTTCAGGGAAACAGGGTAGCTTTTCTTTTAATCAGATCCCTCATAAATCTTGAGGTGGTATATCAATGGGTTTTTAAACTATATACATTGTATGTTATTACAAGTGCAGAAAAAATAAATCATTGAGCATATTACTCTGTTCATTTTCCTTTACTACACTTCCCTTTGCTGCATGCGTGATACAGAATAGTTTCAAAAACCACTCTGAAACTTAATATTCAAATCTGAGCACATGATAAGCACTAATTGTTCTTGTGTTGGATATTTACAGAAAATTATCTGAGTGAACTTCAAATAACTGAATAGGAGAGTGACCAGAAGTCCATAGAGAAACATAACTAATGTTACATATTTCCACTTCTGTAAAGTGCAGGTAGGCCTTGCCTTATGCTGGTTCATTTTAACGGCAGTTTAAAGTTGCAACAGACTCAGAAAATTGATTCATGACTAATCCTTGTAGTTACAAGTGTTGTACCACGCAACAGTCATGTGATCCCAATTTTGGTTGGTTGGCATCTTGCTCACATTTTTATGATAACTGCAACGTTTTGCAGTAACATTATTGTGACTTGTGAGTTTCCAGCAGGTTTTCAACAAGCAAAGTCAAGATTCCCTTAACAACTATGTAATGCACTTAATCACTCTGGTAAAAATGGTTGTAAAATCAGCACATGACAACTGCTTTACGGCTGCGCTGTCTTAAAATCACAATTGGGACTGGAATTTCCGTACGTCAAGAACTCCCTGTACATTAATACTGCAATTTTTCACGTTATTCAGAAGGCCTATTATGTCCAAACGGACTTCCTCACAGATACATGTACTAGAAATGCAAATGTACTTGTGGCATTTCTTTTGCAATGCTGTAGGTTGTATAAATCTCCTTCCTGTGCACCTGGAAGGGACTTCTGTATCCAATCCATGCAGAGACATCTAAATACTATTTTGAAATATAGGTTCATGTGCGAAGCAATAAGAGGTTTTCAAAATTGAAGCCATTTGGCAGGAATGTGCCTTTTTTCTAACTAAAGCAGATTTCTAGCAAATCTCTTTTAAAATAAATATATTAATTAGCAAGAAAATACTTTCTTAGGTAGTGAACCTTCATAGAACTGCTACTTGCTTGGTTATTTGGGAGAGGCTCTATTTAAGTAATAAATGAACATCAAACATTCAATATTTAATTTCCACATCTCCTAAACAAAACTGTGAAAGACCTTTCTCTGAAACCCTAGAAAGCTGCTATCAGTTGGTTTGCAAGACCAAACAATAATCTGACTGTAAAAAGCAGCTTCGTATAGATATTGCTATATAAAGTAACCACTCCTAATAATTATCTTCTGCTCGGTTGAAGAGATCAATCAGGTTAGGAGCCAGTTCTTTGTAAAATAGTATATCATTGATAATGTCGATCATAACTTACAAAAGGAGGAATGTCTCTAATATGGTGACTAGTGTAGCTCACACATGCATCAAAAACAAGTTTTTTCCTGAAATAATTTATAGCCATCTGCAACTTAAAGATGATACACATACACATATACACAAACGTGTGCACGCACACACACACACAACATGGAAATAAACCTCATTAAATATAGCTCTGTTCAGTAATTTATTCTGAAAAACATATAGTTAATTAACTAAAATTACATGAAGCTAATAATAATCCCAGAGCAGGATAATTTTAGAAACCTCGTCTAGAAAAGAAGGGCAGGAACTATCAAGAAATATATTTTACAAGAAGAAATTTTAAAAATCCATCCAGATTTAAACATTGCAGTGTGGTTTTAAAGGAATAAAATAATTATTTACCTTGTGCAAGCATACTGAACTCCAGGAAAAGTGCTATGTGGTACAGTTCCATAGCTTCTTCAGCCTTTGTCATGCTTGTTTTTCCTGCTACAAGAGCCTGGACCTCACTTAGACTCCCTACTGATGGACTGCTGTGCAAAATAGAGAGGTCCACCAAATCTGTATACATACAGTTTAAAATTACCCTCACATATTTTTTTGGTATGATAGACTCATCTAGTATAATCCGGGTTGGAGTCCTTAGTGTTCGATCTGTAATTTCTTCTCCGGTTCGTATCCTCCTCTGTAGTAGATGCCGGAAGAAAGGGGAACGCGATGAAATAATAGCTTTGTGTGCTCTGAGCTCCTCATCTAAGCAGCTCTGACTTCCGCCATAAGCTTCAACAAGTTCAGAGTCGGATGAAAAACTAAGAACCACATCATAATAGCACATGTAATCCAACAGGCCTCGCATGTCAACATCTAGAGAATTTGGTGTTCCAAATTCCTCACTAAGCTGCATGAGAATGTCAACGTTCTGAAACCTCGAATCTTCCATCCCAAATTCACCTGTGTATAGGTAGTGTAGCAAAGCAGAAAACATGGGCAGGTCGATGCCAGCTGTGTTGATATCCATTATAATCTCTGCACCATATTCTGGTGAGGAAGAAAGGAGGGTCTTAAAAAATGGGCACCTTGCAGCCAAAATTGCACGATGCACAGGGAAGCAAGTCTCTTGAAATATTAGATCGACATCGGTGCAGTATTTAAACTCGTACAGTTCAGCCATGTCTTTCTGCAGCGTCCTGGCTTCTGGCCTTGCCAAACTAGCTTGCAGAGAAAGCTCTTTTAAGGCTGACGTTCCTTCATACTCTTCCACTAAAGCATTGACATCCCGGACATCCCAGCCGGAGAGGAGCTCACGCATCTGCTTGGCATGATCAGCAGACCGGTTAGACTTTCGGCGCTTAATAAACTTCTTTTTGAGGGTAGCAAGGCCAGAACTTTTCTTTTTCTTATCTTGAGGTTTCTCGTGGCCGTGCTCAAGGCTATAAAGTTTAGATTCACAGCCATAACCTTGATGGGAATAGGATGATGTTCCTGAAAGAAGAAGAAAAAACTGCCTTAAGCCCAGAATTAGGTGTAAAAAGCAAAATGCATTGATAGGAGTTTTAAACTATTATATGGAACATCTGAAAATGTTCACAATAGTTTACAATAAACTAGCAAAATGTAGTTATGAAGAAAATTGCACAAAATTTTGCATACAGAAAATCAGTGGACAAACTATCATTTGACTACCCAGTTCTATCCAAACCAACAAACACATAGGAATCAGTACTGGCAATTTTCAACTGTCAAGACCCAAACTTTTATTTAGCTCTAACTGGCAATACATGGAGATTTTGAGAAATAAAGCATTTATTTGCCCTACTTCTTTTCCTTTCTACCTCTCTTAAACAAAATAGTGATGGCAGTATTCTAGGAACTGATTTTAAGTCAAAATCGTAATGTAAAAAGAAAAATCTTTTTTAAAAAACAAACAAACATTTTTTTCTCTTTTTACAGATATAAAAAAATGGCCTGGATCATTTATCTTTCATCTGGAATATGTAACTGACTGGAAAAATCCTAGTTGCATTCCTGTGGTTTTACTATTTTTGTCTCTCCCATGTCTTTCATTCTTCCATTTTTGTGGATTAATCTTGTTTGCCAATTGGGGAAAGCTAATACACTAATGTATCTTGTAAGATTTGCAAGGAAAAACATATTAAAAGACATCTTACACAATTACTGAATTCTGCCCATGTCTCTCATTATTTTCCAAATCTTGATTATTCTTTCTTTTTATTTGATCTTCTTGGAAGTTTGGCATATAATATCTATGGCTGTGCATCTAACATTTTGAAATATTTCTGGCCCTGTGGAAAAACTAAATATTAATTTTTAGTCTTATTTTTATCTAGTCTGATGTATATTTAACTGTATTTATTCTAACTACAGCAATGTCTGATTTAAATTAACACCATATAGTTTGAAGATTTTCCGTTGACTTTTCCTTGCTGACTCCTTTGTAATTTTGCAAATGCATTACAGACTTGGTCAAACATGCACAGAATTTTAATATATTAGCAAAGGCTATGACATAGCTATGCTCTTTTTAAGGTTTCTGGCACAACACTTCCTCTCTCCTAAACCTATAAGCTACCATAGAGATTAAGAGTTATACAACCTTGGGCACACTTTCTCAACATAAACGTTGAATCTTTTTGCTAATCTAGTCATGGAACCGAGTTAGCTTATACAATTCAAGTGAAAATGTAAATGAAATTCAACAGATAGAAAAAAAATAATATATTAAAATAAGGTTTTACTATAAATGAGTATATAAATATACAGCATAAAAACAAACATATTTTATTTTGTAAAATCCTTTTTGCTGTTTAGCTTCAATACCTTAGCAAGGCCCATAAACCTATATATATAGGTTTATATATATAATTTATTTTTTATTTGATTTATATGCCGCCCTTCTCCGGAGACTCAGGGCGGCTTACAATGCGTTAAGCAATAGCCTTCATACTTTTGTATATTTATACAAAGTCAGCTTATTGCCCCCATAAACTGGGTCCTCATTTAACCTACCTTAGAAAGGATGGAAGGCTGAGTCAACCTTGAGCCTGGTAAGATTCGAACCTGCAGTAATTGCAGGCAGCTGTGTTAATAACAGGGTGCTTTAGACCACTGTACTACCAAGGCCCAAAAGATCCATTTTCTTAAACATTTAAAACCTGATCACAAGTGGTTAGTCTTTAACATGATTAAGACAGAAGATTTTAAAATATTCCAAAGAAAGCGAACAAAGGGACCACAGAACATAACTTATCATAAGATGCAAGTATTAAAATAATTGATCTTTCAATGGAACCTCTGACAGGGTTTAAGAGTTAATTAATGCTTACGATTTATCTCTAGCAATCTTGCCATTAGATCTGTTAACTTCACAATGTTACAGTATGTTAAAATTTTACTTATATCAAGTTTTTACTGCTAGCATAGCTTGAGAAAATAGAATTATAACATCATTCTAAATTTGAAATCAACATTCAAACCCACAGAAGCAACCATTCCAGTGGTTAAATATCACCCCATCTGCTCCAGTTTGTCTTTTTGTGGCAACAAACAAGAGACATTTAAAAAAGCCTTGTGAGAATTAGCTCTGAAATTCTGAACATTTTTAATGTTACATTTTTCTGAGCCAATAATATTTTAAAAGCTGCCCATTAAGTAAGTTCAAGACTTAGCTATTTCTAAAGTATGCATCCTTTCTCGCATTGTTTCTTGATGTAGAAAAAAAGTTAAGGTTTTCTCAGCATGGATTTGGGTACTTTCACGTTTAACCAAATGAGATGGAATTATCCATTTCCTCTCATCTGTTCATAAGTATCCTTTGCAAGGGATCAGAACTTGCAATACTATGATAGATTTACCACATGAACTGCTGCTTAATATAAATTAAATCAACACTGCCTTTGAGTTAGATATGGTACCCAATAATTGCAGACAATATACGGCCTAGATATGCAATGTAAAAATGTTAAATGGAGAAACAGAAATACCTACCTATGAATGTCTGTTGTGCCTGAGAATTTCCCCCTACCCTTGGGGAACACGAATGAGGATAGTTTGAAGCATTAGCACCCATCTTCTTTAGTCACTTGAGCACTCCACTTCCTGGCTCATCAGCACACAATTCCATAACCCATGATAGAACTTAAGACATAGTTCAAGTAGGAACTTGTTCCCCATTTCTGAAAAATTGTAAACATAATATTATTATCTTTCCAATTGGTTACATGAATACTGTAATGATTTAGGTAATCATATCTACTTGTAATGAGTTTTCTTACCAATGCAGCTATAAGTGAACACGTTTTACCATAACAACAAAGTTAATGCATAATCTAATCATTTTTGAAAATTAATTTTGCATCAAGACCTATTTGGTCAAATGATCTAAAGTTTACCTATAAAAGTTCATGAGATAGGAAATCCTAATATCTAGAATTTATGAATACATAACAGGTGTTGGTTTAAATGCGCATACTCTACAAACAGTGTAGACAAAAGACATTCAGTAGCTACAATATGTAACCTTCAGAATGTATGAGCAGATTACAAAGGCAAGCAGAAACAAAACACAACAACACACAAAAAATTAAGACACAAAACAAAAAGCTTTCAGCAAAGACTGAGTGGGTAATACAGCTAAAAGATCATTTTATAATGTGCAAATTTGAGTATGGGGCACTTAAATATAATTTACATATATATATGGGCAAGCTAATATTTTCTTACCAGCAATAAAACATGGATTTGTGCTGGGTGCCAGATGTTTCCCGACTACAGAAAAACTTAAAGTCATTAAATTGGACAGATTCTATTAAAACATTTTTTTTTAGCACTGATGCTGTTACACAGTCATAGTTAATTGGCTATTATTACAAGAAATTCTAATTAAAGTTTGTGTTAAGCTCCTTTTTGAATTGAAGATGATTTAATATTTCTCAGAATTAAAACAAAAAGGGGACAGGGTTTTATTGTTCAGTTCTACAAAGTAGCTGGATAAAAGCTATTATAAGATTAAAGAGAGACAGTTTGGTCCAGTGGTTAAGGCACCAGCCCAGAAAGTAGGAAATTGTGAGTTCTAACCCTATCAAATATATATATTTATGCATGCAACAAGCCAAAGGATCTTTCTAGGAATTTAAAATGTTATACAAACGCAAATACTTTAACATACTTTAAAATAAAAGATTACTTTAAAATTAACAAATGGGATGAAATACAATTTCACAAACGAAACTGTCACACATATCACCAAATCATGTTTTATTTTTGTACAAATCATGAGTTTACAATTGCTCAAACTGTCCTAGAGATTATTTATTTGTTCTACTGTATTGTTCTCCAATATGCCTCCACAATCAAGAAATCTTCTATATCAATTATATTTGGCTCAGAGTACACATTATTGAAAACACAAGTTAGTAATCTTTCCCTAATTCCCTACTAAATTGCCTTCAGCTTCAGATTCTAAATGCCCTTTTCAGGGTATGATTTATCACACATCACATGTAAAATAATCAATTGTGTGCAGATATCAGAAACGATGCCTACAGCCATTATAAAATTCAATAGAAAAACTTCATGAGGTTTTTTTTTTTTAATGTAAAACCAAAATCTAAAAATCTAAAATATTTCTCTAATCCAGATGTTCAAAATTTATGATCTCTGATTTCCAGAACAGATCTATAAACCAATCACTAATATTTTTCCATTGTTTCTTAAAATTATGGTTTTGCTTTCATCATTACATACCATTGTTAAGGAATTGAAAAATGATAATTCTTCTTAAATAAATGCTATCTTCAGAATAAATACATATAATTGCACTCTACAATGCATGAATGGATTTTCCTAAATTAAAATCAAATTTGAAACATGATTTTTCTTTTTTCTTTTTAAAAATGTAAGGTCAGTTCCTACATATGTCTCTAATACAAATATCTCAATTTGAGAGAGTTCCTACCACTTCTGACAATTTTACAAAGTTCCAAAAAACTGGCAATAATGTGAGGCATTTAGGCTTACAGCCAACTCTTTAATTCAGTAAAAGCTATGTGTGCAAACTGGGCCTTGGGTAACAGTCATTTTTGAAAACAAGTTTCCTCTCAACACCAACATTTTCATATAATTTTCCACTGATATTTCAAAAGATTAAATGATAAGGTAAACTGCAAAAATGCTTACTATACAGCCAAGTATTTTATATTTTCTTTTTCCAACCATAGGCATTCTCTCAAAGTACTGAAGGAACCTAAACTACAGAGGACATTTTTAATCTATGCTATAGTAGTATGAGTCAAAAGGAGAAAAAAATCCTACTCCATAAATTAAGAGCACAGCAGAGAAGCTTCCAGTGAGGAATGGTAAACTGATATTCCCTGGTTAGTGGGAGAGATTACAGCCCCAAAAGCAGCTGGATGCTGGATGTGGACCACCAAAAATCTCTCTGGAGAAGCCTTTTATGGACTTAAGATTCAACCAAACTTCACCATTACATTACTTTGGAGTTTACTTTGTTTAAAACTTTTTGTTAAATATTGAAAATCTTCAGAACCACAAGTTGCTCATATTCACTGGGTGAGTCTTGCTTTAATCATGTAAATAAGAAAATTATGAGTTTAAAATTTTGCAAGAAAAAAATGGAGGGGGGAATATATGACAAAAGGGTGATTATAGTGTTGATTTTAGAAAATGTTAAACGGATTAAGACTTGCAGATTTGGACTTGAGTTAAAGAAGGACTTTGAAGTTAATTAAAATAATCTTTCCCATGTTTATATTTAGAAACAACTGATAAGACAACTTTGAAGTTGAACACTAGAGGGCACTAAAAGGAAATTACTGTAATGTATAAATGGCTACTTTAAGGGACTTCTATGATGAATGGACCAAAAAATGCAATCATAAAGTTACATGCTATTAAAAAATTAAAAGATATTATTGAAGAGAAACAAGTTCTATCGAAGTGATAGAACTGAAATTGATTTTAATTGGAATTTAAAATGGTAGCCTATAAGAAAGAAATAGAAATAGCAGATTTAGAAATGAAACTGATTTAATACAAATGACCGACAAACATTAAACCAAAAGAGTGATGTGGATAACTTCTCTATGTTGGATTTATAAAAAGAACTTGTTGAAGCTTTGTGAGAAGAGACAATCAGAATACAAACAGTAATGTGGATAATTTTCTTCCACTGGAATTACAGATGATCCTCTATAAAGATGCCAATGGTTCTAAGAAAAGAAACAAAGAGAGTATGAGAAAGCAGATGTTAGGACTTTGTTTGGGAACTAAAGATTGTTGGGAGAAAGAAGAAAGAATACTAAATTGATTTGATCAGGATTAACACAAGTGGGTTGCTATTTTTGGGAATGTTTAATAGATTCTTGCTGATTAGAATTGAATAATGATTCAAGGATTTTGTTTATTTGAAGAGAGCAAATGGTGGGATGTTTAAATAGAAAGGGAGATATAAATGTAAAGGCAAGGATTCAAATTGGATTTAGCAAATATAATTTACAAATAGTTATGTTATTATTTCTGACAAACTTTAATAAAATTCTGTTAATTAAAATGGACAAATTAGGTTTTAAAGATTAATTTATAGAGAATGGGATGAAGATAAGGAATGAAGAAATAGTTGGTTTTAAGAAACAGTGATAATTTGTTCATATTGATAATGCTTGTTGGGGATGAAAAGGGAAAGGTTTCTTCTTTCTACCAAGAACTATCAAGGAAAAGAAACCCACAGTCCTGCCAACATGGGCAGGGGAAACTACTATATATAAACAAGGTGCAAACGCCACACTCAACAGCATTAATGTTACCCAGTTGGGTAATGAAATGTCTGAAAGCAAACAACCTTGGAACAAACAACAGTCAGATTAATTTGCATCTCATAAAAAGGTATTTAAAGGCCTGTGTTCTGATAGACGAGCACAACTCAAAATGCACTGACGATGTCTCCTCGAATGGTGACGAAACATTTGCAACCAATTTGCAACTAAGCTCGGAGTTCAAACCAACAGCCTAGCAAACAACCTACCTCAGAGAATATCAAGGACTCCACAGAAGAAACTAATTTTTTTAAAATTAGTCTAACTTTTTGGGAAAGAAAGGAAACTCTCAAGAATAAATCAGGTACATAGATATTCCTCTGGAAGCCAGGTAACTTCTCAATAACCAGTTTCTTTCCTTCCTTCCTTCCATCCATCCATCCCTCCATCTCACTCTGTGTAACATTTGCACAGATTGAAGGATGAACCCCAAAATAAATCTGCCTATATCTATCCACTTATAATTGTAATATTATTGTGTTCTGGTATCCACTTTTTAATTCTGAACAATAAGGATAAAAGAAGTATGCAAATTACTTACAAGAGAGATGTGGAGAGAAAGGTAAAGTATGTTGATTATTATATTCTGAAAGATTGTGCTAGAAATTCATGTTAACACAACCAATATTGCTGCAACTTGTTAGCAAGACCAGCTAAATAATTTTTATAACTTTCTTCTAATTACATGCATTATTTTATAAAGTTTCCATGTCTAATAACATTATTTGCCTCAAATATAAAATATCATTAAATTCTGGTATAGAATACTAAAGGAACATTTTACCATCCACCTGTTTTTTCCTCATATTGAATAATTTGGTGTCATTTGCAAACTTGCCTAAATAATTGCTCACCCAAATTCTGAATCATTTTTAGATGTTAAAAACCGTAAGTCCCAATATAGATGCCCATGGACAGTTTACTCAATTAAGTTTATTTTCTGAATGCCATGTCTCTCTCCTTCATAGTAAAAGGGACTACAAGAAAGGCCTGTTAAATGTCATTTTCAAAAAGAATGAATTATTTCCTTTAAAAATCTCAAACCGTTACTAACATATTTTGTGTACAAAACACATTTTGCACAGCAGGACACATAACTGTAACAGTAACATCAAGCCTAGATCTTCCAAAATTCACTCTTCAAAAATGTTTGTTGCTGCTCTCAATTATACTTTCTTTCATTAAAACAGAAGTGAGCAACTTTTTAATTGCCAGAGAATACACTTAACATTTTGGGGGGAGAGATAAGAAAAACCACAGCGTAAAAGGGAAAGAGTGGATGTGAGGGAATGCAAGTGTTATATTTCAACAAAAACATTTCTTGCTTTAGTCCTCATTTTAAT